ACATCTCGTCAATCCTATGAAGTAGGTACTATGACTATCCCCATTTCATAGGCCCTGCAGGCACAGAGGAGTCAAGTGACTTGCTCAAGGTCACACAGATACTGAGTGTTGGAGCTGGGGTTCTGGCCTGGGCAGCCAGGCCCCAGAACGTGCGCTCTTAAGAATGGCAATCCTTGGGCGCCTGGGTGGCTCAGTCGGTTAGGCGACTGCCTTCGGCTCAGGTCATGGTCCTGGAGTCCCGGGATCGAGTCCCGCGTCGGGCTCCCTGCTCGGCAGAGAGTCTGCTTCTCCCTCTGACCCTCTTCCCTCTCGTGCTCTCTATCTCCCATTCTCTCTCTCTCAAATAAATAAATAAAATCTTAAAAAAAAAAAAAAAAGAGTGGCACTCCTTCACCGGGCTGATGAGAAAACCATTCTCATGACCACCTCCCCTGTTCAGATGAGAACACTAGACCCCAGGAGCTCTAGATCCTTCTCTCCAGAGCGTGTTTTCTCAGCTCACTATTAGCCAGCAACTTCAACCCTTGCCTAGCATTTAGTCCTTTTTCTCAACTGAAAGCTTCACAGGGGACCATGTCTGCTTTTGCTCACCCTGGGATCCCCAGGGACCAGCCGGACACCTGGCACGCGAATGAATGAAACACAGCCCGCAATCACACTGCTGGTCAGACCCACGCCTCTCTGAGCACCTTCTCCTCCTAAATCAATGCTGCTCAGACTGAAAGAAGGAATTCTTCAGGAGGAAAGAGACAAGTTCATCCAGGAGGCAACACCTTCTTGCAACACAGACATGACATAAATTTAAGAATAAAGAGCAGGCACGGGAGAGGGAGGGAGCTAGAAGGCGTTGGCTCCTCGGTGGCCCATCCCCTCTGGTACTGGACAGGCTCCCAGAGCGCATGACCATGAAGGGGGCAGTGCAGGCTGGGACTGGCCCGGACTGGCTGCCCCAGGCTGTTATCGCTTGCGGGGCCAGAGCCTAAATTGGGGCAAACGTGGGCTGTTACGGTGCCAGAACCAGCACCTGGAAGCGCTGAGAAGGAGATGGGCCCCAGGTCACGACAGCTCTGTGTCCCCTCCTGCCCAGGGCTGGCACACAGGAACCACTGTCTCCCCAAATCGAGCCTGAGTTCTAAAGACTGGAAGAAGCTGCCTGCGAATGGCCACCCCTAGGGCGGGCACTGCACTTGCCTGCTTCAGAGCATTTCCCTAATGGATCCCTCACTTGCCTGGGAGGGATCACTGGTCCCAGTTTACAGGCGAGGAGCCCCAGCGAGGCAGGAGTGGCTGTGCTGAGGCTGCGTGGCTGGTGGAGATGGAGAACAGCTGAAAACCTAGAACCCCCAGCCCCAGCCTGGCCAGATTCACGTGCCTTGGGCCAGGGTTTGCACTGGTGCCTAGGACGTGGGGCCACTCAGGAGGGCTGAGTCCCATGCCCTTGTTTCTCGGCCAGGAGCCTAGACTGACCCTGGCTGACCTTGCTCATGCATCCAGTCCCCTCTCATTAGAAGCAGCCTTCGTGCGATTCTGTCTGCTCAGGGGGAGGCTCCGAGAAGCAGGCATTAGGAGGAGTCAGGTGACACGAGGAGTCTGATTTGCCAAACAGCTCTGGACCCATGGGCCAACCCAGAGGCAACAGGGATCAGAGGACACTTAGGCGCAAAAGAAGCTGGGTCCCTGCACCCCGGACACCCTCTGATTTTGAGCTCTAACCATCATTACTGTAGTTGATACACAGTCATGATGGGCAGTTGTCACAACCGGCGGAGGCTCAGGAGGGACGCCACGTGCCCGGTCACCCGGGCTGTCTTTACCCGCAGGCGTTAAGGGCAGCCGGCAGAGGTACCGTGCACTTGGCCTGTCCTCTTCGGACTTCCCGCACAGCCTTTGGGGACCCTGGAAATGCTGTCACTTGTCCCTCAGGAGGGGTCCAAGATGCTGTCTGCTGCTTTTTTTTACTGACTCATTGCCCAGATTTAAAAATTGGGAGATTCATGGGGCACCTGGGTGGTTCAGGTCATGATCTCAGGGTCCCGGGATGGAGCCCCACATCGGGCTCCCCGCTCAGCGAGGAGCCGGCTTCTCCCTCTGCCTGCCGCTCCCCTTGCTTGTGCTCTCTCTCTCCCTCAAATAAATCTTTAGAAAAGATTTTAAAAAATAATAAAAATTGGGAGATTCACACAAAAATCCTAGTAAGAGAAGGGACTTCTTTAACCAATGTGCTGGTTAGTGCTGGTTAACAAAGATTAGGGTTGAGGCCCCCAGATCTGTGTTCTGGCTAAATCTCAATTGCTGGCTTCAGGATCTGGCTAGCCAGGGCCTTTGGGAAGGGTGAGGCATGCGGCCTCAAGGCTCCACCACACAAGTAATTTGAGGTCCAGTATCTGAGATGCCCTGAAGGCCTCCACTCTGCCCTCTAGCACATTTCCCAGGGCTGCCTTCTGCATGAAATTCAAACTCCTGCCCACACCCTACCAGCCTCACGGGGTCTGGGCCCTGCCAGACTCCCTTCATCCTGGGCTCCTCTCCCCTTGGCTCGCGGTGCTCCACCACCCTACCCTTCATTTTGCTTTTCACCAAAGCCTGGTCCATTCCTACCTCAGGGCCTTTGCACACACACTGCCTGGCACACACCCACCCCCAACTCTTCCCATGGCTGGTCTTGCTGGTCATCTGGCTTCAGCTCACATGTGGCTTCTGCCTACTTCTGTCTTCCTCCAGCCCCTTTCTTTCCTCACCAGCCTCATCACATCACAGCTGAAGGCCCGGGCCGGAGTCCTGACTCCGCCAGTTCCCTAGGGTATGACCTCAGGCATGGCTCCTAACTTGACTGCTTGGGCTTCCTCACCTGTCACAGGGTCATCATATCCCCACCTCACCAGGTCGCTGTGAGGGCCTGGCTCAGAGTAAGCACGTGACCCCACAGCAGCCAGTGTTGCTGCCCCCCATTATCATGTCCCCCCGGACCTACTCTTCTGGCTGATGCTGAGATTTGTTTTGTGGCATCTGTAGCCCAAATGAATGCCTCCAGGCCAAAGCAGGCCCCGGTTACAAACAGGCCACAGCTGTGGTCTCGCATCTTACACTGAGCCGGCTCCCCATTCTGTGCACCCTCCTTTCAACCAGGGGCCTCACGACTTCACCTGGAGCCCTGCTCGTGGGAAAGCTGTTCTTCAAAGGAACAGAGCACATACGAACTGGCTGGAAAAGAGGCTCAGGCCACCCTGGCCTTGGGGACTTTATGGCTTGCTCAGAGCAGTCACCCCGTAAAACCCCCTCCTTGATGAAAGCAGGACCCCCCCTCCCACCACCACCACTCACTCACTTCCCCATAAATCTGCTTCTTATAAAACTCCACTTGGGCGCCGGGTCCTCATTTTGGGCAGCTCGACCCCACAGCCCCACAGCCCCGCAGCTGGGAGGCCTCACGGGTGCAGCTGCAGTGAGTGTCCGGGGACCACAGAGCTTGGCCTTCGCATCCTTCTGGGAACACAGCAGCGTGGGGACTATCAGGCCTGTCTTGTCTCTGAGGAAACTGCCTAAATAAGCACCAAGCACTGAAAGGCGTCCAGTAAAGCAGTTGTGCTTCTCTGCCTTGGGCTTTGTACTTTTAAATATTTTCCTCTTTTCTTTCTCAGGGATTGCTTTCCGGTAAAAAGCACACCCAGCGTCCCCAAGCCTCGCCTTGCAAACCCTGTAACTCTAGTGCACGCAGGAGCCCTCACGCCCGAGGTCCCGTCCCATCCTCCAAAGACCCTGGTGGGTCAGTGCCACATCTCCACTTTGCGCGTGAGGAAGCTGAGGGGTTCAGGGCGGTAGGGGCTTCCCCGGCAGGGAGCCGCAGAGCTGGATTCATACCCACCAGGCCTCTGAGCCCAGGGTTTTGTCCCCACCTTTCAGTGTGAGCCACTCCCTGGTCTCCTGCTGGTGCCACAGTCACAAGCCAGGCCCCTCCCGCACCTCCTCCTTGGGGGCTGGGCTCAGGCTGGGGCCATGTGGCTGTCCTGGCCTCCTTCCCCATCTACTCTTTTTTTTTTTTCCCTATTAAACTTTTGTTTTAATGGGTCTCAAAATTCTGTGACAAATTTCTGGCCAAGTTGTTTCCATTAGAAAGTATTGATTTATAAAAAACGGATAATTTAAAACCACCACTCTCATGAGCGCACACACTGGCCGGGCCCCAGGAGCGCTGGCTCTCGCCCGTGTCCACAGCCCACTTGGCTGCAGCACAGAGCCTGCCTCGAGATTCCAGACCTTGCCATTATCTTAAGCAAGATACGCCTCTAAGCCTTCGCAAATGCTGTTCCCTCTACCTAGAAGCCCCTCTCCTCTAGGCATGGGGTCCTGCCTTCTGGCCCACTGTCCTACCTCGCGGTCCTGCTGCCCTGGGCCTAAACTCTGACCACCCCTCCCCTGAAACCAGGGCCCTTCACCTGCTGGGCTTGGCTAGAGGCCAGGTTCTGTCCCAGCCTGGGGCTGTGCCAGGCTACTCCAGCACGCCGGCTGGCCTGCCATCCCACCCAGCATCCAGGGGGCAGCAGGCTCCCGACCACAAGGACCCTCGGCTGGCTGGTGACCCAGTTAACGTGCAGAGACCGAGAAATTGGCACTCGGCCTGGTCAGACCTCCAGCTCACCTTGGGGAAGGGGGGCCACGGAGGATGGGGCCCCACTCTGCCTGGCCACAGCCGGCCTTCAGCCCAGAAAGGAAAACAGCTTCTCTGGTCACATCTGCCCATTTGCGGCCCCACCTCGCCTCCACATAAAAACACCGGGAGCACCAACGGCCCTGGTGTAGTGGGCGGTGGGCGGGAGCTGGGAGGAGTTCTGTGCAGAACCAACACCAGAAGCACAAAACAGCCATTCAGGCCGCCACCCAAATTCCCTGCCTGGACCCTGAGGCCCCTGGAATCAAGACGTGGAGAAGGGAGTTTCCCGGGGCCGCCTGTTTCTGGGGGCGTGGGGTGGGAGGCGTGCCTGGTCAGCATGGGCAGTACTCACCGTTGGAGCGGTGGATGCAGGTATGCTGGTTGTCGCTGAGGAAAAAGCCACTGTGGCACTGACACTCGTAGCTGCCCATGGCATTGACGCAGATCTGCTGGCAGCCACCATTGTTGTCCTGACACTCGTCCACATCTGCAAGAAGAGAGAAGGCGACAGGAGAAATCACACCTGGTGCTGCAAGTGGGGTGTGATCCGTTGGGAGGGCATGGATGGGATCAGTTTCCTCAGGCCGCACAGAAGGCACTGCACAGAGTGGTACTACAGTGATACTCCACAGAAGTACTCCTTGGTAGTACTCCATGGTGACACTGCATAGAGTGATACTAGTGATACTCCATGTGGTACTGCACAGGGCCGCACTGCGGTGGTACTCCACA